CTTAAATCTGGCTATGTTGTTGCTGGTTGATGGTTTAGTGATCTGCTGTGGTTGTCGTTTGCTACTGCTAATCTGTTGTTACACTGGTTGTTGCTGATCCTCCCTTTCTCTTCTATTTCATTGCACCTTCAGGTACATGTTCTCAATTCTGACTTGATGTAATCGAAGGGAAATGTTATAAAGTGTTCGCTCATCTGCTCCTGGAAAGCACGCCTGTTTGGGATATAATATGTTGACAGTTAATTAGATACTAGACATGATTGTTTAATTCAACTCTGACTCGTATTCATTTAAGTGAATTGTTTTGGACTGTTAAATCTGAAATTATGTAGTAGTAATCTAGCATAGCTATGTATGTGCTTTAGTTTAGTATTGTGTTAGCAACAAAAACATAAATCTGAAATGATTTAGATTTATAGTTGATTCTGAAATTAGCATGTGATGTCCATGACCATTGTGACTCCAAGTTGAATATACATTTCTAACTATTGCAGTTGCTAGTATAGGGAACTAGTTAGTAACGTTAATAATACGGACAACCTGCTGTAATTGTTCTGTGATCAGACATGAGTGAAACACGGATTAAGTCCACAAAATTGTTCACGCTAACAATTAGGTAACTTAGTAATTTGCCTCTCGTCTTTAGTATTGTTTAAAATAACGTGGTCTAATCCTCCATTAGAAATCAAACAATTGCTATCTTGTGCATTTGAATAAAATAATTTGGGATAATTTGGGAAGCAAACTGTTGAACAAATTGTTGGTATGCCAGACTTGAGGGTTCGATCATCCGTTCTTCCCTATGTTGCCTGATTTAATTCGTCTGCTTTGGGCCACCCTCAGGCCCAATTCGTAGCTATTGGAAATATTGTCTAGTGTGCACGTACAATGTGGCTTGGCCTCTTTGGACCCAAATCATTTTAAGTTTTTCCTTTTAAAAATAAAATGAGACGAGCCTCGCCGGATAAAATACACAAATTACGGGGCCCTCAATAAATATTATATTAATTTTTAGACTTCGGGATGGGCCGTTTAGCGAATTTCGCGGCCTTTCCCAAATAATAACGCGTTAGTCTCTTCAGGCGCGCCTTTAATAATATTACATTCCTAAATTCGGGTACACATTTATGTGACCCAAATCCAAATCTCAACGGAGTCGAAATGTGTTGACAACCACGGGTGCACTGGTGCGACGTGGTTCATGACACATTTTCACGACATTGCAATTCTTATTAAAAATAAAAACTAAATAAAAGCGGTTACTAATAAAAGATACATAGGTTAGCACACGTTTTTGAAATCAGATAAAATCAAATACAACAGTTGAGCGACCGTGCTAGAACCACGGAACCCGGGAATGCCTAACACCTTCTCCCGGGTTAACAGAATTCCATACTCGGATTTCTGGTTCGCGGACTGTTAACAGAGTCATAATTTCCTCGGATCGGGATTCAACCGGTGACT